AGAATATAAATTTACGCACAAAGAGATCGAATGAGGAAAAAGTAAAGAAACGAAAACTAGCAGAAATTTGCAATCACAGTATACACACACACATCTTCAAATGCATGCACAAATCCTTACATTCTGCAATATTTCAATGTGTTTTGATAACGATGCACTCTATTTGTTTTATTAAAACGAAGTAAAATAAACTTGCCAACTTTTTCCTTGTGCGTTTTGAACAGCAGCTTTTTAAACATATGACTGCAAATTTCTGTTGGCAGAAATTTCGCCAGCAGAAATTTGCAACTCTCTCGGTTACTTATGCTCTCTTTTTGGCTCTCTTCTGCAAATTTTTTGTGTTAAGAAACACATTCCAGCAGAATCCAGTAAAAATTTGTTATAATTATACGTTAAGAAACAAAGCTATTAGGTTCATTCCTTATCTTTTTGGACTAAAATCTGAAAAGTGTCAAAATGCCAGAGCGTAAGAAAAATGCGCTCACTACAATAGAATAACAGGAAAAGTAACGGAACCCAAAAAACCAAATTTTTAGTTCAAAGAATGGCAACAACAAAACTAACGTCAAATAAGAATGGAAATGTATGTACAAAACACATTTACACAAGCACAATAAACACTTACTATATCAATTATTTTTTCCCTCCTTCCAATTTCAATTCCATTTTTTTACTTTTAATATTATTCTCACTTTTTGTGTGTTCTTTAATTTCCGTTAATTTAAACTCAGTTGATTTTGACACTTTCCAGGATTTTGCCAGAAAAAATTCTTCTGACTAAATCTGACTACTTCGGACTGAAGAGAGTCACTCTCACTGAGTGTTGCTCTCTCAATTTTACTGTCACTTCTTCACTGTCACTGTACTTCGAGTTAAGGAACGCTTTTTGGACAAAATCTGACTACTTCGGACTTTTTCTGACTATTTCTGGGAGATAAGGAACGCAACTACCCTGCCAGCCAAAAGTGGTGAAAAATCTGGTGAAACCGCGGGTTTCGGTCACTTCAAAACTGGTGACAAAACTGGTGACATTTGTATGGGCGGTGTGCAGATTGTCACCACTTTCCCCCTGTACGTGTCAGCCTTGCATCACTGTCGCACTCATTCAGATACTTCGTAAGGAAAACATATAGCTACACTCGTCCAGCATTGCCCCCTTCAGCCGGCTCAGGGTTGCATTTTCTTCACAGCCAATTCAAAATGACCTTAGAACTTTAAATAAAAAATCCTAAAATGTTTTGATTTTTATTTTGCAAAATTTATTTTCAAAATGCATGATATACATACTTAATAATCAATATTATGAATAAAACTTGTAATTAACATTAATAAATATATTTTTTACATACATACATATGCGCTGGCTTATTTTCTTATTATTAGTATTACTCATTTGCACATAGATGTTTAAAAAGTTGGAAAATTTCTATAAGAAAGTTAAGCGATTTTAATAATATTATAATCAAAAGAAAGGCAATCGATTTATCTTTCTTTTGATATATGTGGCACCCTGCATCATTTCATATTTCTCCTTCTCATTTTATTTTGCTATTTTTTGTAAGTCAATTACATATACTCACTTGTACATTTTTTCTTTCTGATTCCTGCAACCAAATAGTACACACGCGCGCTAACTAAGTTTTGCTGTTCAAGTTTTTATAAAATAAAGATTTCATTATTTGACCTACATTGGCATTAATAGAAGCGATCTTTCTTATTGCTTTTACTGTTTTGCCTTACATAAATAGTCGGCGAAAATATCAAACCTCTACGGAGGCTCAACCATCATAGCCTCCAGAAACTGGTGACCCCGCTGAATTTTGTGCACGTAACTGCACTTGCATACCGGTAAATTTTCGGGTAACGGAACTCACATTCCGTAAAAGTATTTTCTCGGCTTCCGCTAAATCACGCCACTTGCTAACGCCTTGCAAGGTGACACGTGATTTCAATATTTAATTTTTGGTTAACATCGACTTTAATTAAAAAATGGTAGACAGTGGTTTGTCGACAGCAGAGTCTGCAAACAATACACCGGTGTCGCCAGGCGGCGGCGCCAACACTGTTGCAGTAGTGTACGCCCGACTTCCAGTACCTCCAATGAGTAACACCAACATCGAAGCTTGGTTCACTACGATGGACTTTTGGTTTACCGCATCAGGCATCACCACCGACAAGCAAAAGACAGAGACAATCTTGGCAGCGCTCGACCCAAATGTTATCGCGCAGCTAGGGGATGTCATCGCCTCGTTGCCGCAAAACGACACGTTCGACTTCGTCAAACAAAAAATCATCGACCACTTTGCAGACAGTGAGCAGCGACGCCTAAACCGCCTTCTGTCGGAGTTACCACTGGGCGACAAGAAACCATCTGAGCTATACTACGAGATGAAAAGAGTTGCTGGTAGCACTTTGGGGGAAGCAGCCCTGAAGGGGCTCTGGACGAAACGTTTACCAGAGCTTGCTCAGCCAGTAGTTGCCGCCTCATCCGGAACAGCCGCTGAGTTTACCAAAATCGCTGACTCGATCGTAGACGCCATAGCACCTAGCCACATCAACAAAGTTGACACAACGCAACCTAACGAAATCGAGGGACTTCGTGCAGCCATTAACGAACTAAGTAAGAAATTTGATAAGCTCAGATCTCGCTCGCGTTCCCGTAATCGCAGGCAAAACAATTTTCACCCTCGCTCTCGCAGCCGTAATCGTTCGCAAGCCGCTGGCACATCAACCGGTGCGCTGGATGAATGTTGGTACCATAAGAGGTACGGGCGAGATGCCCGCAAATGTAGAAGCCCATGTCACCGCCAGAGTCGCTCGACAGTTGCAACTGTTGCCAACTCGTCTCCCGCATGACCCCTGGAGCGCGTGACGAGTCGTAGCGAAGACACGGTCACAGAGCGCGAAGTGCTTCGCTTGCAGGTGCACGACAAACACTCCAAGAGAACATTCCTCATCGACACTGGTGCTGATGTTTCTGTCCTCCCGCTCATGGCCAAAAGTTACGATATCCGACCTACGGCAACGATGCTGTATGCTGCGAATGGGTCGCCAATCAGAGTTATAGGGGAAAAAAGAATATCGCTTGATCTTGGGCTACGTCGCAACTTCCAATGGTCTTTCGTTATCGCTGACGTCACGACTCCGATAATTGGTGCAGATTTTATACGATTTTACGACTTGCTGATCGATTTACGCCGCAATCGACTTATCGACAACGTAACTCAACTTCGTGCCCCCCTAACTTCTTCGGCGATGACTCAAACGATCGGAATCAAAACGTTTGATGCGACCAACCCGTTTTCTTCCTTATTGCGCGAATTTTCCGACATCACAAAGTTAGCTCCGCAGGGATCAACGACGAATTGTACGATCACGCATCGAATTAGAACAACTGGTCAACCCGTGTTCGCTCGACCAAGACGTCCTCCCCCCGATAAGTTGGAAGCAGCGAAGAAGGAGTTTGAATTCCTGATGAAGGCAGGCATCTGCCGCCCGTCAAGCAGCAATTGGTCCAGCCCGCTGCATCTAGTCAAAAAAGGCGACGGGACTTGGAGACCATGCGGCGATTACCGTGCTTTAAATGCACAGACGCTCCCCGATCGATACCCACTTCCATACTTAACGGATTTTCAAGCCAACTTGCGAGGTAAGACCATCTTTTCCAAAATCGACCTTCAACGCGCATTTCATCAGGTGCCTATCCACGAGGATGACATTGCCAAGACTGCAATTACGACACCATTCGGTTTATATGAATTCAAGTTCATGACGTTCGGGCTGTGCAACGCTGCGCAGACATTTCAGCGGGTAATTAACGATGCCTTGCGCGGGTTAGATTACGTTTTCCCATACATTGACGACATTTGTGTTGCCTCTACGTCTAGCGAACAGCATCGTCATGACTTGAGAGTAGTACTTCAGCGCCTTCGCGAAAATCATCTCGCTATTAACCCATCAAAATGTGAGTTCGGCAAAAGCGAGCTGAAATTTCTAGGCCACCTTATCGACGCCCGAGGCATTCATCCCTTGCCCGAGAAGGTTTCTGCAATTCAGGACTTTCCGAAGCCGACCACTGCTAAGGGTTTGAAGAGTTTTTTAGCCATGGTGAACTTCTACCGAAAGTTTTTGCCGCACGCTATGTCATACCAGTCCTGCCTTCACCAACTCATCACTGGAAACCGAAAAAACGACCGCACTCCCGTCGTATGGAACGCTAATGCTGAAGCCGCCTTCGAACGATGCAAATGCGAATTGGCAAACGCGACGCTGTTAGCTCATCCCGCCGCTGATGCAGAGTTAGCGCTATACGTCGACGCTTCAGACACCTCCGTTGGCGCTGCACTTCATCAACTCATCGATGGTGAGCTGCAGCCGCTCGGTTTTTATTCAAAAAAACTAAGCAGTGCGCAACGGAATTACAGTACATACGACCGTGAGCTGACGGCCGTTTACCAAGGCGTTTGTCACTTTCGCTATATGCTCGAAGGGCGCAAATTTTACATCGTGACCGATCATCGCCCGTTAATTTACGCATTTCGTCAGAAACCAGAGAAGACTTCGCCTCGTCGAATCCGCCAACTTGACTTTATCAGTCAATTCTCAACCGACATTCGACATACGCCTGGCAAAGACAACGCGACAGCAGACCTACTTTCGCGCATGCAATCGGTCGAAGCAATAGTCGACTATACAAAGGTCGCAGAAGCACAACAAGCCGATACGCAGTTGCAAGCACTACTCAACAAATCAGGTACGCAAACTAGTTCACTCATTCTCAAGAATTTTCCAATTCCCAACAGCGCCGCTCGATTGGTATGCGATACATCTACTTCAACCGTCCGACCATACATTCCGAAACAGTTTAGAGACATGTTGCTTAAAAAGATGCATGGTCTTTCACGCCCAGGCGTGCGTGCCACGGTTAAGCTAATGACCGAGAGATTTGTCTGGCCGAGCATTAGAAGAGACACAACTACTTTCGTCCGCTGCTGTGCAGCATGTCAACGCTCGAAGATACAGCGTCACACAAAATCCCTACCAGCCAGCTACGAACCACCTCTAAGGCACGTTTTTCACACATCAATATAGACATCGTTGGTCCTTTCCCATTATGCGAGGGACAACGCTACTGTCTAACGATGATCGATCGTTATACTCGATGGCCAGAAGCGGCACCAATGCCAGACATGTCCGTCGAATCCGTCGCTAAAGCACTTCTGTCACACTGGATTGCGCGGTTTGGTGTTCCAGAGCGAATCACATCAGACCAGGGAAGGCAGTTTGACTCCGCCGTTTTTGCTGAGCTAATTACGACTATTGGCGCAACCCACCTGCGAACAACTCCATACCACCCGCAATCAAATGGCATTATCGAGAGGTGGCACAGGAGTTTCAAAGTAGCTATACTATGCCACGACCCAACTAGGTGGGTGCAGCACCTACCGACAATTTTGCTTGGCTTACGCGTCGCATATAAGCCCGACATTAAGGCATGTCCCGCATTATTAGTTTATGGGTCGACTCTGCGAATCCCAGGCGAATTTTTGCAAGGGGCGGAACAAACGAAGGCCACTGAAGAGACCGTATCGCAATTTAGGTCAGCAATGCAGAAGCTGCGACCGACGCAGACATCGCATCACACAACCATAAAAGTCTTTGTGCCACCTGCACTAAAGACAGCAACGCATGTATTCGTGCGCAACGATTCGATACGCCCATCGCTAACACGCCCTTACGACGGACCATACCCCATCATCAAGCGATCGTCTAAGTATTTTAATATTCAAATGCGAGGGCGTAACACAAACATCAGTATTGATCGGTTGAAGCCAGCGTTTCTAACACACGCCGATCTCGAAGATACCACCGTGATTCCGTCAACAGTAGAGCGGCCACAACAGCAACTGGAGTCGCCACAACAGCAACTGGAATCGCCACATCTGTCGCCGGAAGATAAGCTGCCACAACACCAGCCGCTACCGATACCGAAACAAAAGTCGCAGCAGCAACAGAATAGTGCGATGAAACCTACTCGCAGCGGCAGGCATGTCACCATACCTCTCCGGTACCGATAGTTTCATCTAGTGGGGGAGTACTGTGGCACCCTGCATCATTTCATATTTCTCCTTCTCATTTTATTTTGCTATTTTTTGTAAGTCAATTACATATACTCACTTGTACATTTTTTCTTTCTGATTCCTGCAACCAAATAGTACGCACGCGCGCTAACTAAGTTTTGCTGTTCAAGTTTTTATAAAATAAAGATTTCATTATTTGACCTACATTGGCATTAATAGAAGCGATCTTTCTTATTGCTTTTACTGTTTTGCCTTACATAAATAGTCGGCGAAAATATCAACCCTCTACGGAGGCTCAACCATCATAGCCTCCAGATATATATTAAAAGTTGCAAATCATTTAAACTGGTTCACAAAAATTCAGTTTCATTACAACTTTGCAAAATTTGATTGCGTTTTCTCGACTTATATATAGACGGTTTCAAAAGTTGCAAAATTTCTTTAAAAAAGTTATGTGATTTTAACAATATTATAATCAAAAGAAAGGTAATCGATATAACTTTCTTTTGATATATATTAACAGTTGAAAATCATTTACACTAGTTCACAAAAAATCAGTTTTGTTACAACTTTGCAAAATTTGACCACTTTTCCACTGCTTACATATAGATCTTTTCAAAAGTGCAAAATTTCTATAAATTAGTTAATCGATTTTAACAATGTTATCATCAAAAGAATATAAACGATTTACCTTTGTTTTGATATATATTAGTAGTTAAAAAATATTATATAATTCGTTTACAAAAATTCACTTTTCTTATAACTTTGCAAAATTTTACCACTTTTTCACTGCTTATATATAGCTGTTTACAAAAGTTGCAAAATTGTTATGAAAACGTAGAGCGATTTTAACGGTGTTATAATCAAAAGAAAGGTAATCGGTTTACCTTTCTTTTGATATATATTAACAGTTGCAAATCATTTATGGTGGTTCAGAAAAATTAAGTTTTCTTACAACTTTGCAAAATTTGACAAGTTGGACCTACACTTTGAAGGTGCTCCTGGCGTTGAAGGTGCTGAGGGCGGAAGGTACTCATGGTGCTCCTGGCGATGAAGGAGCTGAGGGTAGAAGGTACTGGTGGTGCTCCTGGCGATGAAGAAGCTGAGGGCAGAAGGTTCTAATGGTGCTCCTGGTGATGAAGATGCAAGCGTTGAAGGTGCTGATGGTGAATCCCAAATCTGTAAACAAACAAAAATATCAATTAAAATTTATAAACATTTAAAAAGTCTCAATACATACCTTAAGAATGTGACTAAGTCGCTGCTGTTTTGCAATCGAAAAGAAGAAATTACATTATAATTAAATAAAATTGTTAAATACGTATTCTTACCTTCAAAATTTTCGTAAAGTGACATTTCTTCACAGTATGTATACTGTCATCAAAACTCCGATGTTTCTAACTTGCTCGCTCTAACGCATAGAATTCTTATTAGAGTACGAATTCTTATCGAGTATGTAGCTCTAACAAAGGGACATTTTTTGACAGTTCGAACAAAAAATTTGCAAGTGTGTGGGTGAGATGACTAAAAAGTTGCGAATGTGTCGTTGAATTTGAGGGGAAAGTGGTGAGCCGTGGCTGGCAGGGTATTTATCTGTTAAGAAACAAAGCGATTGCATCATGAGTTTTGGTAGGAAAAAATCGGCCGTGGAAACACTGCTCCTAGCGCTTATTTATTATTGTACTAAATATAGGTGCGTTCGTTTAAAATCACCAGTTAAAACCAACCAACTGCCAAATTCCGGCGAAACGTCATCTGTTCTCTCACAAGAGAAAAATATCCCAAATAGTACGCGAACAGAAAATTTGCTGAAACTTGCAAGTNTGCCAAATTCCGGCGAAATGTCATCTGTTCTCTCACAAGAGAAAAATATCCCAAATAGTACGCGAACAGAAAATTTGCTGAAACTTGCAAGTTAGACGAACAGCTGATATAATTTTTTTTTATATTCAAAAGTGTAAAATTTTAAACGTACGAAAAGTCATCACAAAGTGTTATACTGACACAGTTCATTGATTAAACAAATCACTACTTATTTCTTACAAATTTAAATAGTCGCATTTTGTAATTTTTAACTTCCAAACCAACAAATTAAATTTTGTGATTTGCGTAAATGCCAACCAGCTGTTTTTGATCAGCTGTTTTCCTGTTGGCAAATTGCTGTTGGCAAAAATTTTTCCAGCAGAAACCTGCAGCTTCCCCTAGAAATGAAATGTCAGATTGCTCTCTCAATTTCCCCTACTTTGAAAGTTTTTTGCGTACGCGAACGCCAAAACTTGTAAGTTTTGGTTAAACATGAACAATTAACAGCTACGCGAACGCAGCTTATGGCTGATGAATATTGCTAAACACAGCATATACTAGTTGTGTTTTCGTATTCTCCAGCAAAAAATATCCAGTAACTTGCCAGTAACCAAATTTCGGAGACTAAGCCAATATTTACTCCCAATGAGTGAAATATGCAAGAAACATGGTGTAGTGAACTGAAGGTGGCGCATTCCCGAAACCGCTACTTTGGTTTTGCCGACTTAGACGTTTATGGCAATACGTAAACAAACTTTTTGTTTAGAAACAAGTGCAAACGTATTGTGTACTTTCAAGTG